GCTCCTACCTTTCCGACTTTTTTTTCAAACTTACATGTATATAAAATATTTATAAAATGTTTATATAAAGCTACCATGCATGAGAATCTTTATATACACAAATATTGAAGAAATACAATATTTCTCTAGTGAAAATATGAAAATTTTCTAAAATATAAAATTCTTCATGGCAGCTCATTATTCACCCAGTCACATATGTAGAATTTTAAATTGGCTAATAGGGCTTTTGGTTGTCAAATTAAAGTGTATAGCTAGTGGGCCAGGGGGAGATTATATGTATGACAAAACATATTTGATTTGCCTTATTAGAGTGTATACATAAATTGTGAATTAAATTTACCATTTTCCTGCCATTTCAGTAATGCCCTTGTCCCTGAGCAACTTTACTTTTACTAAGGGGTGGTTATCATGGTTGACCTTCATCAGACATGGCAGAAAGTAATCATAAAATCAATTGGTACAAATGTGCATTAGTGCAAACTTCCATCAATTTTTTTATTCTACATATTGTCTGGATGTGAATGCTATTATTTGAAATTATCTATCAAGCCAACAAAAACAGTAAGATCTGTTCATTCTCCTTATTCATGGCATCATCATTGAATTGTGAAAATTCTCTTTATTTGTATTCCTCTTTCTTTTATGTTCTCCTTTTTCCCTATTCCATGATGTTTATTTTTGGAATATCAGTCTATTTCTAGTTTGTGTGTATCCCCCTTTGTTCTCCTCTGTGTGTGTGTGTGTGTGTGTGTGTGTGCGTGCGTGTGCGTGTGCGTGTGTGTGTGTGTTTGTTTGTCTCTCTCCCTCTATCTCTCTCCCTCTTTCTCTCTCTGTCTCTATCTCTCTCTCTCTCTGCCTCTATCTCCCCCTCTCCCTTTCTTATTCTTTATATCTCCATCTACCTCTAGTGTATTTAATTAATCATATATGGCATATCCTTCACAGCACATATAGTTTAATGTATGATCAAACATGTATAGACTATGAGCACACTCCCTCCAGAGGGCCTATGTTCACATCAGATCAATTAATGTTGTTTGCTTCTGACCATATGTCATGCAGTAGAAGATTAGTTCCTACTGGTTGAGGAACATGATATATCTGGCTATATATTTAAGATCTTAAGAAACAAGAATTCTTCATGTAATGCATGTATTACTTTTTTTGTTTATTACTTCCAGAGAAATTCGTATTACAATTTTAAATCTCTGAAAAGAAAACTCTGAAAATGCTTCACTTATTTTCCTTCACTCGATTTTTTACTCTCTGGAAATAGTCAGGTAGCTTAGCGTCAAATTTATCGATTATCGTTACTTGCCGGATAAAAGCACCATTTTTGGTACAGGTCTTCCAAAGGACCTACTAAATGATATTAGGCTAAGAGCCCCCGGCAAAAATGTCAATTTAAGGGTGTGAGGGTGGGGGCATCCTGATTACAAACCTGATTTCTCACACACACAAATTAATTAATTGAGTTTTTATTGTACAAACTTTATGGGGCCCCCGATCACACATATATGAATAGTTATGCCGGGGGCTCCTACCCTACCATCATGCAGCAGGTCCTAATGAAGCCCTGCGCCAAGTATAGCGTTTGTACAACAAAAAATCAATGTTATACTAGAAATTTAATTCGTCATGGGGACGAATTAGGTGGTCTGTCTTAATTTTCAAATTCAAAGAGAAAAAAAATTGAAGGAAAAAAAATTGTTGGAGATGCCTGGACTCGAACCAGGGTTCTCGAGGTCCGAAGTCAAGTGCATTACCGATATACCAAAACATTTCCCATAGCGATTACACGTTAACGGAAAATGGAATCCTCAAATCCCACATTCCAAGTGAAATATGAGCATGATCCCGGCATCTGATCGAAAAATAAAGGGCACACTTATGATAGCTTATTGTCTCAGCTACAACATACTCAAAGCCTAGCGTAAACAAAGAAAAAACGACGGAGATATTGCTCGCGAAAGACGAGAATGTAGAATCCAGTTTTGAGAAAAAGTCATGTCCCATAGAGAATACACGCAAAATGTGAAAAATTGACATGCCTCCTTTAATCGCAAAAATATGCCATGATACCTTTGTCAAAATGAAAATTTGTGATAACTGCATTTGTAGAAAATTGTCTCAGCTAAAACATATCAAAATTTGGAAGTAAATCGTTCAATATTTACAGAGATACAATCAATTTTCAAAAAATCTGCCGACGTCATAATATGCAAATTGAAATTTTGAGTTCGGAGGCCATTATGATGACGTCATGAGTTAATTGAAGGTCAAATGAGACATGAAATCATATCTCCAACTCATGCTTTTTCCAACCATGATATTAAAGTTGGGGGTCAACTGACTATCTGAAGAGTTATTTTGATTTTTAAAATGGCATGTTTTTGATCAAATTTGCATTATATTTCCCATAGCAGCACGCGCGGATTTTGAACTTTGACGCGCGCTCACAGCCTTATGAAAGGTCAAGATTGACTGAAATTAATGTAAATTGTCATTTACGGTAAGAAGAATCTAAATCATGTAAACAAAATGAATTTGACCTTTTCTGCGCGTTGTGAGCGCGCGCAACGCGCGCGGGGACACGTACGGACGGAAAATGTTGAAACGCTTAAAATGACCTGATTCGTACTCTCGTTTAATAGTTAAGTGATTTTGAGCATTTTTAAATTGTGACGCGCACGTACGCGCGCGTCGTGACCTTTATGTGACCTTTGATGATATGACCTGTTGACCCTTGACTTGAAATATATGTGATATGAATATGAATGACCTTTGCTTATGCATCATGAAGATATGATTGATAACGTGATTTCACGAAATGGCGCCTGGATGACGTCACGATGATCTGATGACCTTGAAAAGGTTACTGTCACGTCTCATGACAATGACCTATTAATGAGATAAAATTGAATGAAATTGACTGAACTGAACTTGAGTTATCCTAGGCACAAAAAAGTGTAGGAAATAAAAATAAATAATAATAATAATAAAGAAAGAAAATTCTAACGAAAACAATAGGTGATCTGTCGATATCGACAGACCACCTAATTAACTTATGAATTATTTGTGGGCTACGAGGCGACGCCATCGCCCCACACCTTATACGATATTCTTTTCGGGGCTCCTACCCTAATATTGTTCAGTAGGTCCTATGGAAGCCCTGTATCAAAAATGGCATTTGTACAACAAAAAATCAATGTTATATTACCTTCTAAATTATTTGGGGGCTACAAGGCGACGCCCCGCCCCCACACCCTTAAATTGTTTTTTTGTTTGTTGCCGAGGGGCTCTTAGTCTAATATCGTTTAGTAGGTCCTAAGGAAGCAAAAATGGTGCTTTTATCCGGCAAATAACAATAATTTCACTAAGCCACCTGACTAAAAGAAATAACATTCAGATTAGTGCAGAACAACTTTCAATTATGATGGTAAATGACAATGTGCAAGGAAATATTGTGTTTAGATATGATTCCATTGTTATACCTTTTTAGTGATACCCTCTTTGCCTTTCAATTTCTTAATTTTGCTGTGCTTAATTGGTATAACTTTTTGAAAATAATATGATCATTTCCCTTGGAAGGAAAACATTCTTACAGAGTAAAGGATATATATCAAATAATATGTCAATTCCATCACTCTAAGAAATGATAAATATTGTGTGTATTTGAAATGTTATTTTTTTAATGGATATAGCATGATTTAAACAAAATATTCATTGCTTTAACATTAGACTTATGATGAAATAAGATGCCATGTTAAAGCTTTTAAATAATTGTGAGACGCATGCTTTAAAGGTTGATATTCACCCTTGAACTGTGCAAACAATATGAATGACTTTGACAGTTAATGGAATATGGACTTGTTTGTCTATTCTACTACGTGTCATTATTTTGAAATCTTTTGTATTTTAGAGAACAGTACCTTTTATATGTGGAAGAATTTGAGTTCATTCGTTTTATAGCTTAGGAGAGCATGATTTATAAACCAACCTAATAGATAAGACAAGTATAGTTTTAATGTTGAATCCAAAGTCCATACTACTGTATGTCATGCACGTTGGAAATTTTAAACATATTTTTTACCATTGTCTTGATTTCCTCATAAAACTATGAAGTTTATTTCATTATCTTTTCTATTTCATATCTTTCATCATTAATGTATGGTAAAAATACAATAAAAACAAACAAATATGGAACTTCTCTGGTACAAAAATAATAATAATAATAATAGTGGGTTCTTGCTCATGTCTGTCAGACTTCACACTCCTGGCGCTCCACAAGTATTACCCAGGCTTTAGCATTTAGCCATTATGGTGCTCTAGTATAAGTTCAACAAAGTAATTCCCGCCATTTACCTCACCTTGGTTGAATACGGTATGGCAAATGCAGAGTTATGTCTTGCCAAAGGAGATTAGTGCCATGTATTTCAATAGCATCATAATGAAAATTGCATAGAATTTGTGTTGTTTGGTAGGACAAGCCTTTATGTTTGTCCTACCTAGGAACAATTAATGTTTGCATGCAATTCAGATTCTGACTATTAAAACAATTATTTGTAACGAGGCACTTAACAAAAATTTGTGTATTGACTTTGATAAAATTTTGAAAATGGTTTATTGAGTGAGGCAGACTGTAAATATTATGACGTGGGGAGAAAAAATGAAAAGTGGACATGTAGGCTTATGTATTGTTATGGGTGCTAGTGAATTATTCAAGCAAATTACAGTTTGAAAAGAACTCCTCTATGAACATACATGTATGTAGAATCAAGGATTTGAATAAAGAGATTAACTTAAGGGCAGATTATGCTCACATTAGCACAAATGTAAACACACACATACACACACACACACCCACACGCATGCATGTACACACATATATGAGCCAATCATCATCATTCATTCATTGGATTCGTGCAGGTGTGGATTTTGAGGTCGATGCCTTACTGTGCCTACGTTATGCTGCACAGTTAGCCAGTAAGCTTCTCTCATTTATCTGTTGACACTGCTGGAGGGAAGACGTGTGTCTCTGTATTCATAATTCTGCATTTGCTTCATACTCATAGCAATCAAAACCACCTGCCTACTGCATCACGTGTACTACTACATACAGAACAACACAAAATATGACTTCTAATTAGTATGCATGAGATTACATGAGGTAGTGGTTCCTTTGTGTTGGAAAGGAGATGCATGTAGTCCAGTGATGGAGGCATTGAGCCTTGGATAATAGTTCATCTTCACTAGAATTACAGCTTTCTGAAGCAGGATTTGTTTTTAGAGTTGACATGGAGCTATCTGTTATAGAAGATTTGTTGGATTCAAGACGAGCCATCATCCATGTTTGTTCTTTCATGCCCTCCCATCAGCTGTCAATGGATGACCAGCTTGTTGTTATTATGTTGCTTTGATGTGATACAAAGCCATTGACTGATTGATGCTGCGTTTGTATGTACATAATTAACATGGACTCTTCCCTAACTACATTGGTCAAGTTTAACAGAATATTGGAGGAAGAATTAACTTTCTGAATGACCTCTACTCTGTTCTTGGATTTCTTATTCTTGGAATATATGTACATGTATCACCATCATTTTATATTTTCTTCAAATTCATAACCTAGAAGAGAGAATATCTTACCGGTATTGATTTATCAATAGATACCTAATCCTTCATGTAACTTAACTCAATCATCACTCTGGCTCCGTAATCCCCAGCATCAACACACCATTTGCATGTTGGGTACTATCAAGCCCTCCAGAGGTTGGAATTTGGAAGCGACAATTAGTGTTTCTGCCTTCCTTTCTTGGTCGGAAAGTAAACTTCCTCACGTAAAATAATAGAAGCTGAAGAAAACAAAGATTCTAGTCAAAGTGATGACCTGGCATTGACCTTACCCCTGACCGATAAGACCTCAGAAAATCTGGATGCGTAATCATGCTCTCCTCTCCGATTACCCCAAAACGTCGGACTTTGGTTCCGCTTGGAAATGTAAGTTGATCCCTTAATCCTTGACCAAGATATTGTTCTTGTTTGATTTCAATAGTTTTTTTTTAACGTTATTTAGGGTAATCTGTTTGAGATACTGTGATTCCTATTTGGAACTTTATGAAACAACATCATTTCATATTTGTTATACCTTGCCTTTTTAGATATGACTGCTGGATGCATTATATTACAGTATTTAGTGTTCATAAATCTATTTCACATTTTAATTGTGGACAGTATGTATCTTCATAATCATTTAAAGAGAAGGTTGAGTTCTGAGAAGAGGTGAAAAATAATTTGTGAGCATTGTCATTGTATTATGCAAGTGTGGAAGAACATCAGATACAAAATGTTCCCTGAAAAGCATGGCTCTTAAAATGCCTTGATATTCTAAATATGGCATGTAACATCATAACATTTGGGACAGGTTTTTATGCCACATGTTCATGTAGTTCCATAAACATCTTTCTGTGTACAATGCTTGTAACTTTACCAAGACTGAGCTAAATTTCTTATCATTGTGATGATTCCAGAACCTTGCAGTACACACCTATACTGATATGCTTGATGATCAACCTTTTCTGATCGATTCCACAATGTTTTTTTCACAATACTATCGCATGACCAGAACTCAGCTTTATCTTTAAGTTTGTCAAGAGCTTCACTTCTCTTCTTGACTCCTCAGCTCACACTTTTTGTTTGTCCTTTATATCCTACATCTTTTGAATAAAAAAAAAATTTCAACTCGGAAATGGGTTTAAAGTGCAAGTCCACTCCGAAAATGGTTTACTTTCAATAGAAGCAGAAAAATCAGACAAACCAATCAAAAAAAGTTTGAGTGAAATCAGATTAATAATAAGAACGTTATGAATTTTTGAAAAAGTATGTAAAACTATGGAACAATGAAAATCACTACATAAATTGCCAATTTGGTTATCAGTTTGTTAGGTCATGTCCTCACTATATTTATCAATTGCTTTATATAGTTTAATCCCATTAATTTCCCTTTTTATCCCTGTAAACTTGATTTCCCCATGCCCTTGCCCAGGTTATATGATTTGAATCATATTGCGTGCATGACATTTCACAAAATCTTTTATGAACCTCGAAGAATCGATACTGTTTTCTGAATATTGTATATTTAAGTAATATTGACTGCCTTCAGGGCAATACGATATATCGCCCAAACCAAAGGTGAGGGTGATATATGACAAGTCGTATTGCCCTGAATTAGGCAGTCAATATTACTATTATTAACCACATCGGAACTCTTACTATCTTATACTCTTAAATTATGTAAAATACAGTAGCCTACACTACAAAGGGTTTCCTAGCATGAAAAGTTGCAAAAACATTATCAAACCAGCACTGTGCATCCAGTGCTTGACAAAATTTTTGATACACTGCAAACAGTGTGCCTTTGGGGTGATTATTACGTCACAATAGAGTGTGTGCAAACGGCGCATTTTTCTTACCCGTAATGGACGTGCAATGAAAATTACAATTGGCTCTACATTATTGCCCACTTGTTTAACACGCATTTTGCCATTGACTTTTCAGATCGGGCAATAATATTTGTTCATTGGTTTACTGTATGATATTATTGACTGGCAAATTACATACAAAATCCCATTGACTTTTCTTAGCAGTCAATAATATTTTTTTCCGTCTGTAATTTTTTTGGCTTATCCATTAAACCTTGAGGGCAATAACCTTAAAAAATTGCCCTGCTCAGATGTCTGATACGGTTAATAATCATAATTATTGATTTTTATGTAAAAAGTTTATCAAAATTCAAATTTGTCAAGATTTAACTGGAAAAATAATTACTCTATGTTAGTGCATCCATACAAAAACACATTACTATCAATCTAACTTGGATGCTGGTGTGAAGAAATAAGATTCCTAGGGGGGAAATAAGAAATTTATATTACCAATATACTAGGAAATAATAAGTGGATAGTGAGGACATGACGTCACAGACTCATGAGTGAGTTTCCAATTTGTCTTGTGATTTTCATTGTTCCATAGTTTTACATACTTTTTCAAAAATTCATAACTTTCTTATTAGTCATCCGATTTAGCTCAAACTTTTATTGATTGGTTTGTCTGATTTTTCTGCTTCTATTGAAAGTGGACTTGCCCTTTAAAGTCTAAGCTGAGTAAAATTAGACTGAGGTATTAGTTTCACTTTGTTTAATAAACAAAAGTATGAGTTTATTCCTTGCCATCAGTTTAAATGAATTAGTGTTAATAAAGGTCTCTTAATTTGCTATGTACCATTCACCACTATGTTCACAAGAATACCACTTTCTGCACACAAAAAAAAAAACATGGAGAATCATCCATCTTCATGATAATTACACCCCAAGTTACATAAATTCTATTGATATGTTATATGTATCTTATGTTAGTCTAATTATTCCTGCGAAATGTGAAATATCGGAATAAACCATGGTCTGCCACAGTGAAACAAACATATTTATGTAATATATAATTCAAACAATGTAGCAGTCTGGGGCTTCCGATAAAGCAAGTAAGAGAAAATATTGTTTACCCTTGTGATTTTGCATTGTAGATAACCTCTCAACCCTATTTCGTTTGTATTTGCAAGCCAAGGGACAACTTGTTTTGCCACATCTAGATACAACTGGAGCCTGTTTTGATGCTTAGTAATGTCCCCCATGAGCAAATAATATAAAATATCAAGAAGATCAGTTTCACAATCATCTCAAGATATCATTAATTTGTTGAGAGTATAATACCAGTTGCTTTCTCAGGTTGATTTGATGTCAATATATTGTGTTTTTCTTTTTTCCCTAGCCGACAATCAGTTAAAAATAAAACACAGTATGTTTAGGCCTCCGTACTTATTTTATCAAGTACTGAAGTATTATTGTATAGTTGTGTATATAGGAATGTCAGTTTATTATGTAAAATGACATTTTTCTATATCAATATATTTTGACTGTTTCAAGAGAAATTGAGAACCCATTTCAGGGAAATCTCCATTATTAAACAAATGGTATACATTGATTTATAAAATGGAATGAGTCAGTGGTTCAGTGCTTACCAACAAGTGTGTTATTTTGAGATAACACATTTGAATTTTATTGTCATATAAGAAAATCAAGGATTAGGAGTTACTTCCTTTTTTAAATACCAAATCATTATTTGAATTTAAAAGCAACATTTTCATTGGTTACCATGTCATTGGGTAACTAATAGAGGATCATAGAAATGATTATAACTCATTTCCCACATAAGTGCGAGTTAGCACTATATAAATTAAATTGCACACCCCATCCAAAATAATTGTATACTTTGTTTTTGCAAAAAATGGGAAAAGGTCATATCGTCTTTTTGATGATTGGTAAAATATGCACAGCAGAACTATGTTTTTAGTTTTCTTGTCTAGGTTTCTTTTATTGTTTTCTTCTATTTCTTTCATTTTTAGTACAATAGACCCTACCTTGTTTTCTTTCTTCTTTCTTCTGTTATTCTTTCCTTTTGAAGGTTAGTATGATATATTGTGATATCAGGCACTCATGCTCAATTCACATTCATATTCCTAGTTTTCTCCTTGAACCCTCCTATTGATGTATGATCATTCCTTTGGTTGCCATTTTTATTATTGTGACAATATTCATTAAACAAATAAACTAACTTCAGTGTATTGGTTTTCAAATGAGAAGTACAAAATGTTATCCTGTCCAAGTAATACATATCAATTGTCATTTGTACATTAATAAATTGATTTGCTTGTAAACCGATCTTGGTTTTAAAATTAAAGGGGAAAGAAAATAATGTAAGCACATGTAAAGACTAGATATTTAACTGCCATGATCTGAATCCTCATCACACATTTATAGTTTTCCTTTAAGAAGTAAATATATTATGTAGCCATATAGAAGTTAAGTATGTGAATCATGAGATGCATGTTATTTCTTGAAGTTCTATTGTTTGTATATAAAATGATTACACGTTGTAAGATGTGATCACGGAAAGATGTGTACATGTCTTGGCAAAATAGAGTTCATCTTCCTTCAATATGAAGTCTATAGAAGGAATTACACTTCACAGATCATGAATGGATGGGTGTCAACAAATCTGTATTACACACCCCAGCAGCAATAATGCATGATGATATGAAGAGATTAGAATGATGTGTTTCTTATCCCATTGTGAAGCTATGCTTCTTCCCTGTTCTTGGAACTAATCCTACTTCACAGAACAATTGTTCATATGCATTCGTCTGGAATGGTATGAGCGGAGAAGGTCTTTTTGAAAGTTTCTCTGTTTATCTTACCCCGCAAATACTTTTCTGTTGGTGATTGATTTTTGGACTTTTGCATGACTGGTTTATGAAAGAAACATAAGGTAATAGATGCAGTCCATCTGTTAAGGATACCGAGATTAGTTGTAAGAAGTAAAAGACAGGAATGAATGAATTTGGCCGATAAATATAAGGACATACCTTCCCTATGAAGACATTCAATATTAATGAAAGATGTGCAAAACATGGTTCATGGATGTAACTTTTTAGGATGCATGTACCAGACCAGTGTTTGATTGTTTATTGATGCTTGTCAGTGTTCATCACATTGTATGTACATGTATGTATTGTATATCCAATCGTTGGTATTCTTGTTTGGTTAGATAATATCTACTGCCCTTCTGTCAATTTCAAAATTGAAGAACGTTAATGAACCCCATAAAGCATCACAGGTTTCTATGTTTCAAAATTATCCAGGTATTTGTTAAAGTTTAATCTTTTACAAACATCCACATTCCAAATATGAGAAATGAACCAATGCACAATAATGTAGAATACAAGTATTTTGTTATGTAAGTTTTTTTGTAAATTTATAAAGCAAATTTCATTCTCACAATTAATAATTTATCTAAATTGACAATATTTTCTCTAGAGTCTAGACCTACAAAATATATAATTCTAATGATTTATTTTGGGGGAAGTATTTCTCAGAAAAAAATTTGGAGAA